CTAGTGTCATCTTAAGAAAATATTCGATATGCACCATAATAACGTCGGAGGTTATTCCTTAATATATAATATTGTAGTATTTTTTTTTTATCTTGATGTTGTCATTGGGCAAATCATAAACCACCGATACTAATATAAAACTAAAAAATTTGTTTGTTTGACTTGAATGTAAAATGTTCAAGAAAACCATTATCTTAAACATAATTAAATCTAAGCTCTCTTCTTGTTGTAGTCAGATGACAAACCCTTTACCCACTAGAGTTAGCTCTACCAAAAGATCAATCAGTTAGCTATACCCATGGGTTTTGTCTTTGAATATCAAGAGAAGCACCTATCATATTTGTACAATTATTTTGGTCTAATCAAGAAAGACACTTGTCATATTTTTTTAATTACTTTGATTCATTGATACTTATCATATTTGTGTAATTATCTTGACCCATTGGTAAATATTTCAATAATGTTATTGGGATTAGATTAAACTAGATTTCGAATGATTTTACTTTTAAAAGAGCATTGGACCTACCAAATTTACCTACATAAATGAATGATTTCAGTAAATATATGATGTAATTTTGCTTTTAAATCTTTTCATAAAACCAGGGATCATAAAGCACTAAAATATTTGAGTAGGTCATAAAAGCACTAAAATATTTGAGTGGTTCATGATTCTTTTCCACAAAGTCGTAAACTTACTTAGTGATGGAAGATAATGATATATTTATATGCCCAAATAATTATAAAAATAAGACTACTTGCGTTGCTAATTTGGCATAATCCAAAAGCATCAATAACAACAACAAGAAATAATAATAATGAGAGAATCAATCTAAGTTAGGTAGTTTGTCAAAACCCCACCCACCATATAAACTATACATGTTTTTATTTGCGGCCCTGACCCAACGGCGGTTCCTATTCGAATTAGATTAATATATATTATACCCAACGGCGGTTCCTAATTCAGAAATGAATTATATAGATATATATTATTAATTAATATATATATATATTTATAATATATAATAAGTCCCTATAAATATCATTGAAATGAAAATTTGATAATATGCATGCACCTTATAAGTTTTAATTTTGAATTTTTATAAAAATTGAGATTTCATATTAATAAGGTCGTGTGGTCAAGAAGGTTTGCTTTTTTTCATTCGTTTATTGGGTTAACCACTTTGAGTTCATCTATCAATTTTTGTTACTTTTGAAACATTAGTGTTCAATGAGACTCGAGGATTAGTTGAACCATGTACAAACTAGTCTAAGCACCTAATCATAAAAAAAAAAAAAACAAAAAAAAAAAAATGTTTTCGTGCATCATTTAATTAATCTCTTTGAAACCATCTTATCGAAAACATTAACATAACAATAATACAAGTATAGTATCATCTGAAAAGAGACTCGACCTCAAGACCGTCTTCAGTAATATACTTAAAAGTTTTTATCGAACTGCTCGATCATCTAGAAATAGTTAAAAATTATATAAAATTCATTTACAATTAAAATTAATAATTAACAAATTCAATAAACATAATTTTTATCCAAAATGAGATCAAAGAAACCTCATATAAATAGAGAAGAATATATGAGTTCTTATATTTAAGATCTTGGAAATCTATTGCTTTTATAAATACAGAAAAATTATGGAATATCAATAACATCACAATCGAAAAAGAAATAAAAGAAAAAAAAAAAAATTAGAATCACATTATGTCATATGTCGAAAAATGCTACCGACACTAAGTTCCTTTCCTAAGGTATGGTTTTAGGTTGAGTCTCCAAGCCTTGTAAATATTTATCTGTTAGCCACTCGTTTCTGCTTCTCTACAAAAACCTCACCATGCATTGCTTGCACTCTCACTTCTCCATCTTTCTTCTCTCTCTTTCTTTAGTTTCATATATGTAACACTCAATTCTACCATCTGGGTTTGTTTCTTTCTTCAAAACTAGTTCATAATATCATATCCTTGTTTCAAACTTTTCAAAATGATGCTTTCAACAAAGTCTGAATCGGATATTACTAGTTTAGCTCCTTCATCGCCATCAAGATCACCAAAACGTCCAGTTATTATGTGCAAAGTCCGTCCAGGGACTCTCATGATGGAGACAAGTCGTCTTCTCTGCAACCGAGTCCAATGGAGTCACCTTCACATCCATCTTTTGGTCGCCACTCGAGAAACTCTTCAGCCAGTAGGTTTTCAGGGATTTTCAGGTCGTCTTCTGGGAGAAAAGGGAATCGAAAAAGGAACGATAAAGGGTGGCCTGAGTGTAATGTGATATTGGAGGAGGGGAAATATGATGAGTTTGAAGATAAGGCCTTTACTCGAAGGTTTCAAGCACTGATTGCTCTTTTGAGTTTTGTTGTTTTGTTTACTGTGTTTTGTTTGATCATTTGGGGCGCCAGCAGGCCTTACAAGGCTAAAATTACTGTCAAGGTATGCCAATTTTGCTTCTTTTTGCTTTTTGGTTATATTTTTTGCTTTATGTGAACATGTTTTAACCATGTTTTAATCAGCTTATTTAGCTTCAATTTGACCATTGAATTAGCATAGTGTACAGAGATGAGATTGTCACCTAAGCAGCTGTCAGAAATTGGAGGTTTTGTAGATTTCTAGAAGAGTAGTTGGGTTTCCAGAATCAATTACATTCTACAAGAAATGTGAAGTGCCTTTTAATTGAGTTTCTGAGCTCATATACTTTTGCTCTGCTTTTTGGATTTTAAAGGGTTAGAATGTTAATTTTCCTATCTTTTTTCTTGTTATATATTTTATCTGGGAATTGGGATAGGTAGTTTTTGGAGCTCTTGCTGTGAAGGAATTCTAATTGTCATCCCTCATCTCTTTCCAGATTAAACTTCATTCTCTGCAGCCAAATGAGGCTATTTTTTAGTAGTAGAATGATAAAAGGGGACCTTCTAGACTGTAGTTTCAATTAAGCCTCTGGAAGCATTAAACTTTTAGGGATTTCTCTTGATTAAGAAGAAGGAAAATTATCAAATGGAAGGCATTGATTCTGCCAGGAACATTCCATTTTCTGCTGATAGACATATGAGGATATGGAAATTGAAAAATTGACTCCATTTTCTTTAGTGATTTTGATATGAATTTTGGATTTTATGGTTGCCTGAAGAAAATGTGGTTCTTGCAGAGCTTGTCAGTGCATAATTTCTATGTTGGTGAAGGTTCAGACTCCACAGGAGTTCCAACAAAGATGGTGACAGTAAATGGCACCTTGAAGATAAATGTATACAATCCTGCTACATTATTTGGAATTCATGTCAGCTCGACGCCCATTGATCTTTTATATTCAGAGATTACTGTCGCAACTGGTCAGGTGAGACTATCGGCAAACATGCCTTTCAATTAATCTTTATTAGCCCTGTTGAAATATTTGTATTGTAGACTAATGTGTCTATTTTTGTTAAACATACTCTCGATGTTGCTATTTTGATTGCAGTTGAAGAAATATTATCAACCCAGAAAGAGTCATCGAACCGTATTGGTGAACTTGGAAGGAAACAAGGTTCCACTCTATGGGGCAGGATCAAGTCTAGCTGTGAATTCTCAAACTGGTGGTGAAGTTCCATTGGCATTGAAGTTTGGAATCAGGTCAAGAGGGGAAGTGGTGGGTAAGCTGGTGAAGACAACACATAAAAAGCAAATCTCCTGCCCCTTAGCCATTGACATCCTCAGTACCAAACCCATCAAGTTCAAGAAGGATTCTTGCACATATGAGTGAATAGTCATATGTTCATTTGCCTAGTCTTTGATCTCTTCAACTTCATGAGAAAATGGAAAACCTTTCTTTTGTTATAAATCATAAGGTTATGTAATCAAATTAGGGTGGTGAAGATGTAATGGATTTATTCATGGTTGTTTGTAAGGTCATATAAATAATGTATAAAAATGTATGTATGAAGTTTTTGTTCTCTTGACAGGATTATGGAGTAAATGTGAGTCCATTTTACCAAGAATTTGAACCTAAAGAGAAGATTGTAAAGAATTATGTGCATATTGTTTAGTTTGGTCCATTTTTTTTTTTTTTTTTTTTTAATGATTGGAGGTGTCTAGACCAGTTTATGCGTACCTCAATTAATTCCACAAGACCCTGGTACTACTATCCGCGTAAGAGTTCTATTGACTATCCTTATTGGCAACTGAGGAGGGATTCAGATTTAGGATTTCTTGAGTAATACGTCTAAGAGTTTTTATCAAACTACTTGATCGAGATACTTTTGGTTCATTTTGCTGCAACTGGTAGTAGTCAAAATATTTTCTTTTCAAGGGATTCATTTATATTCTCAAGCGTGGTAGTGAACTATGCCAACAAACAGATGTTTTGTTTGCATTAAATATTGGTTTATAATATGCTTTAAACAAGTCAACTCAATATTATATTTTCTTTATGGTAATGAAAATGATCTTCAATATTTATATGGTAACTTAATAACTTGGGATCACCAAAACGGTCTATCCTTTCCAACCAATCTTGTGAAACCTAAAATTCTGGATATCTAACAGTGACTCATTTACAGCTAATTTTCATTGCTTTAACATTTCTTCCCATTTAATATGACTCAATAACATAAAATATAAAAAGAAAGGAGATAAAGCAATATAGTTTCCCAATTAGAATCCTGTTCATATCAAAGTCCATCTATTCTTGATAAAGTAAAAGAATAACATTTTTTTATTTTTCTAATTGAAAATTTTTAAATTACAAACAATCCAATCCATTATTAAAATATAAAATAAAATAACCAAAGGCCAAAGTAGTGCATGCACATCACTTTTGTAATTTCTTTGACTGAACGATGTCCCAAACTTCCACTTCTATCCCCATTTTGCATTGACTGAAAACTGTTAAAGGAATCATTTCTTACAAGATCTTGCCGAGATTTCAGCCTCTCCACTCAAACCCTCAAAAACTCAGATCTCATTCCTTATCTCACTGCAAATTCTCAACGACCCAGAAATCAATTTCTCTCTATCTCCATGTTTCCCACAAAGGCCACTTCAAGATTCATTTTTTTCACTTTCACCCTTCTGTTACTTGTCTCTTTCTTCACCACCACCCTCATCAATGCCTCTGATCTTGACACTGAAAATGATGATAAGGTGGATAAAGATTTGGAAGAACTTATAGCATTAGATGAACAAGAGGAGGATGGTTCTCAAGTGGGTGATGCGGATGCAAAATTCTCTGAGGCAGAGTTGTTATCGAAGGCTCAAAGGATTGTTCTTGAGTTGAATTCTGATAATGCGAAGAGGGTTGCTGAGGGGAATGAGTTTGTGTTGCTTCTTGGATATGCACCTTGGTGTGCAAGAAGTGCTGAGCTTATGCCTCAGTTTGCCGAGGCAGCAACTTCACTTAAGGAGTTAAAGAGTCCTCTTTTGATGGCTAAAATTGATGCTGAAAGATATTCCAAGGCAGCTTCTTCACTTGGGATCAAGGGATTCCCTACTTTGTTACTTTTTGTCAATGGCACCTCTCAAGCTTACACTGGTGGATTTTCAGCGTAAGTTGGTTTTTTTGTTTTATATTTTGTTGTCAAGATTATGTTTTTATCCATAAATGTTATGTTTCAACTAGTCAAGGATGCTTTACATAAGATAAATATTATATTTTGGTTGTTTTAGTTGTGAACTTATGCTTAATTATCATATTGCAATACAATATTGTGATTACTTTAACAAAGTATTGAGTTTCAATTGACTACTTTTTCTGTCTTCAATGTTGTTGTTGTAATGAAATTAATGTATTTGATTTGAGAAAAGTACATATGGTCTCATTGATGCAGTCATTGTACATGGCCAGAATATCTTAGACGACAATTGTCTTAATAATTGAATTTTCATATTTTCAAAGTTTCAAATGTTGTAGTTAAGTTTGTGATGCTGTTACAACCTTGAAATGTTTTTTTGTTTAATGGGGTTTATGTATTATCAGCGCGGAGATTGTGATCTGGGCAAGGAAGAAAACTGGTGTACCTGTTATTAGAATAAACACTGTGAAGGCGGCAGAGGAATTTCTCAAGAAGTACCCCATGTTTGTCCTCGGCAAATTTGATAAATTTGAGGTATGTGGCTTTGGATCATTTTGTAGGTTCACGTATATATTACGAAGTTCTGGAAACCTGATTTTGGAATTCTATTAATAAATCTGTTCAGGGTCCTTGGTTTGATGAACTGTTTATGTTTACACTAAACACTTTTTAGCTTCTGCTTTGTTTATGCACGGTTGTTTTATTTAAATAATATGATGTTTGCTTAGGGACCTGATTATGAAGAATTTCTGAAAGCAGCAACCTCAGATAATGAAATCCAGTTTGTGGAAACAAGCAGCAGCGAGGTTGCAAGGGTTCTCTACCCAGATATCAAAGCTACTAATCATTTCCTTGGACTTGTTAAGAGTGAGCCAGTAAGATATACTGAATTTGGTAAGTAGGTGACTTGGCAGTAGCATATCTGGTATTGGCATATTGGTTTCTCCAGCTATGCTTGTTGATTGCTTTAAAAACATTTTTCCTTTAAATTTTACTTTTTGGCAATCGTGCTTGATTTGCAATTGCTTTGTGAGGTGGATGTTTCTATGGTGTACTATCATGGTCAGTAATTTAACTGTGAAACTTTTTAATTAGTGTTAATATTAAACCGCTTTAGAGACATATTCAGAAAGTGAAAATTTACGATTTAATCAATTCACCCTTTGTTTTCTTGTTTCCTGACAATGTCGGCTTCTGACTTAGTGGAGAATGTATCTGTGTTTGATTTTGCAGATGGGGCCTTCGAAATGGACAAAATATTGCAGTTTTTGGAGTATAACAAATTTCCTTTAGTTATCAAGCTGACTGAAATAAATAATATCAAAGTTTATGCTAGCCCTATTAATCTTCAGGTCGGTGATACTTCCAGCTTATTATATCTTTCTTGTTAATTTATTATGCTATTCTTTCTTTCTTTTTCCCTGTTCATTCGTATTTTGTTTTGCTTTGTGTCTTTTCCCGAAACAAACTTATGAAGCTGAAAATGGAACTGTAAATATTCTAGACTCTAGAATGAAGGTGGAAACTTAAACATTTGCAGTTTGTGAATTTTGCATATTAGTTGAAAGCATCTTTAAAGATTATGATTACTAGAATTATTCTTGAATGTGCTTTTGTGGTAAGTTTATGATTTCTAGAATTATTCTTGTCCAGGTTTTCGTCTTTGCCAAGGCTGATGAATTAAAGGGTCTTCATGAGCCTCTTCAGAATGTTGCAAGAAAATTCAAAGGAAAGGTACTTGGTTTGACTATCTTTAACCCATTGAAGCAGATTTTGCTTTTGTGCAGGTCTAATATTTTTCTTTTTGATATCCTTCTCTTGGTGCAGATAATTTTTATATCTGTAGACAGCAAGGATGAAAATCTTGCGAAACCCTTCTTAACTATACTTGGGCTTGAAGAATCAGAAAACACGGTGGTTAGTTCTCAACTTTGACTGTTAGCTGTCACTAGAATATCCTTCATCTGAAGCTATAAACTGATTAATTCTGCTGTGCTTGATAGGTGACTGCCTTTGATACCAAAATCAGCTCAAAGTTTTTGCTAGAGTCAGATCCAACTGAAAGCAACATAGAAGTAAAGTTTCTAATCTGTTTATTATCTACTTTTTTAAAATAGCTGGTCAGTTGCTAATGTATCCCGAATGATTTCTTAGGAGTTTTGCTCGAGGCTTCTGCATGGGACTCTGTCTCCTTACTTCAAATCACAGCCAATACCAGATAATGTGAGTTTTATATCTCTTTTTTTAAAGTTATTCAGAAATGATAGCTGCATGTTGGTAGAAACTAGGCGTAAGATATGATGCTTTGTTGAACATTGTTTTAAATTGAAGTCCATGGTTTTTTACATGGTTATTAGCTCACGCATATTGGTCATCTGGTGTGATGACATCATAGCACCCATTCAAATAAATGGATAAAGTCCCTTTAATATCTTATGTGAATGAGTATTTTAAAGCATCAAATCAAACTTGTCTAAAGGTCATAAAAGTGCTATGAGTTGAAACCCTGTATAAAACATTAAGGTTCACTTGCAGTTACACACATATGGTGTTCTGAATTATGATAGTGTAAAATTTTCTGATTATGAACTAAAGAGGCTCCATTTTTTGTATTGTTTTTTCAAAATTGTGTTATTTTCTTATCATTTGAATTTTGAAGATATTTTTATGATTGCCAAATTGCAGACAGATGCAAGTGTGAAGATCATTGTTGGAAAGACGTTTGATGACTTGGTTTTGGGCAGTCCTGAGAATGTTCTTCTAGAGGTTTGCATCAGTTCTTTTTGCTCTACATATGTGAGTTTTGTTGGTCTAAATGGTGAATGAGATCTTGATGCAGCTTTTCGATAGCCTTCCTATTGAATAAAAGATGAAAGCATTTATATGTGCCAATTAATTACTTCTTTGTTATTTATATTTAGAACCTATGAAAAAAGGATCATATGCCCGGCAACCAATTTCCATGGAAGCACATCCTAGAAAATAGACGAAACTGCTATCCTTCATCTTGTAGAAGTACAGTTTTCATTATGTGTGTGAATTTTATGTTGTTTTGCTGCACATAGAAATTTGACTCATTGGATAACTTAGCATGAAGGATACAAAATTTTGCTAATGTCGAGTTATTTCAACATTGACCCTGAAAAATTTATTTTGATTGTTACAAAACAGGTACATACACCATGGTGCATCAATTGTGAGACCACTAGCAAGCAAATGGAGAAGTTGGCAAAGCACTTCAAGGGTTTAGATAATCTAGTCTTCGCAAAGATAGATGCTGCTGGAAATGAGCATCCAAAACTGCAGGTAGGTGTGCTTCAGAGAATCCAATAGTGACAATCTTGTTGAAATACGGCCTTCAGTGTTACAAACGGGGAAAAAAGAAGTTACTACTCCCCAGCAATATAAAGTTTTTGGAGTTTCATTGGTAGATCATAGAACATAGAGACTATTCATTGCTGCGCATAGAAGTCTGATTCATTGTTATTTTTTGTCATTGCAGATAGATGACTATCCAACACTTCTATTTTACCCAGCGGATGATAAAGCAAATCCGGTAATTGTCTGATGATATAGTCATTTTCATTGACCTTTTTTTATACAAACACGTGGTCGTTTTGATGCAAGATTTCCATTTCTGTGCAGATCAAGCTTCCTACTAAGCAAAGCTCGAAGGACTTGGCATCGTTTATAAACAAACAATTGAAAGACCAAGATCAAGGCCTTAAAGATGAATTATAGAACACATGATACAATATAGATTCTTTAACTGAAAAAAAAAAGAGAGGAGGAAGTAGAAGAAGAAAACGGTTTCAACTAGTTTATTAGTAAAATCCTGGAGGAAGTATTATCCAAATGCTTCTGGTTTTCCAAATTTGCTTTAGTTTTACATATTTTAAGAGCTATGAGTTATGATTACTGCCAAGACATGTCTAATAAAATTCAAGGTTGGAATTTTGGCTCTCTTGTAATCTGGTTTTAATTTCAATTAAATTACTTGTCTAGGGGGTTAAAAGAACAATGCTATTTATCATACTGATATTGATGGCAACTTTATTGGCTGTGTTGGATTCTTGGAATGATATATTTTGTTGGCTATGAATATGTATTCTCTTTTATGTGAAATATTATGCGTTTTTGATCTCAAGCATCCAAAGATTTTTCTGGGATGATGTAGGATGTTACGTTCATTGTTCATATTTCAGATACAAAAAAGGGAGTCTCTATTTCCGGAGGAGCCACAACGCCACCATTGTAAGTAAGTCTGGCTTTTTCCAGACCCGGCAGATCCAAAACTTTAAAAGCAAAAGGTACAAATCTTTCCAGTGATGATTTAGTGATGATTTATCACATGGCATAATCTGGTGATTCCAAAATGACAGGTTCAATTGCGAACAAAAGTGCTTTTTGTGCTACAGGCTTAAAGTAGAGGAGAAAATGCATCTTCCAAGCACACAAAAGGATAAACTTAGAATTGAAAGATATTGCATTTCATCAGGTTGATGACCAGCTATGGCCAAAGATCTAGTCGTCAACGACCAGATCTTTGGCCTTAGATCGGGCCTTCTTCGACCAAATCCGCAATAGATTTGATCGAAAAATGCTAGATCGGCATACTACCGGCCACATCCAGCCAGAAGTGTGCCATTACACCAGATTCCGGCTACCTTCCGACGGTGATGGTCGAAATCTGACAAATATGGGTGGAGGGGGGTGTTTTTGTCAATTTCTAAACTTTTTTATGTTGGGGGTGTTCAGTAAATTAATAAACCTAGGGCTTTAAGTTGAATAAATTAGAATTGAATTTTCAGAATAGGGAAACAAATATGTATTTTAGGTAGGATAGGGATAAGATAGAGTAGAAATAATGAAACAAACACACCCATACTTTTTAATGTGAAATATTATCTGTTTAATATTTTTCTGGGATGATGTAGGATGTTTCTTTTATTGTTCATAACTTCATATTTCAGATACAAAAGAGGTAGTTTCCAGACCAGGCTTTATCCAAAAGTCTAAAAGCAAAAGGTACAAATCTATCCAGTGATGATTTATCAAATGGCATAATCTTGTGATTCCAGAAATGACAGGTTCAAGTGTGATTGTAGGGCAGAGGAATTTCTCAAGAAGTACCCCATGTGTCCTCGGCAAATTTGATAAATTTGAGGTATGTGGTTTTGGTCATTTTGTAGGTTCACTTATATATTACGAAGTTCTGAAACCTGATTTTGGAATTCTATTAATAAATCTGTTCAGGGTCCTTGGTTAAGACTGTTTATGTTTACACTAACACTTTTTAGCTTCTGCTTTGTTTATGCACGGTTGTTTTATTTAAATATATGATGTGTTTGCTTAGGGACCTGATTATAGAATTTCTGAAAGCAGCAACCTCAGATAATGAAATCCAGTTTGTGGAAACAAGCAACAGCGAGGTTGCAAGGGTTCTCTACCCAGATATCAAAGCTACTATCATTTCCTTGGACTGTTAAGAGTGAGCCAGTAAGATACGAATTTGGTAAGTAGGTGACTTGGCAGTAGCATATCTGTTATTGGCATATTGTTTTCTCCAGCTTGCTTGTTGATTGCTTTAAAAACATTTTTCCTTTAAATTTTACTTTTTGGCAATCGTGCTTGATTTGCAATTGCTTGTGGAGGTGCATGTTTCTATGGTGACATCTGGGTCAATTTAACTGTGAAACTTTTTAATAGTGTTAATATTAAACCGCTTTAGAGACATATTCAAAGTGAAATTTACGATTTATCAATTCACCCTTTGTTTTCTTGTTCCTACTGTCGGCTTCTGACTTAGTGGAAATGTATCTGGTTTGATTTTGCAGATGGGGCCTTCAAAATGACAATATCAGTTTTTGGAGTATAACAAATTCCTTAGTTTTATCAAGCTGACTGAAATAATAATATCAAAGTTTATGCTAGCCCTATTAATCTTCAGGTCGGTGATACTTCCAGCTTATTATATCTTTCTTGTTAATTTATTATGCTATTCTTTCTTTCTTTTTCCCTGTTCATTCGTATTTTTTTTGCTTTGTCTCTTTCCCGAACAAACTTATGAAGCTGAAAATGGAACTGTAAATATTCTAGACTCTAGAATGAAGGTGAAACTTAAACATTTAAGTTTGAAATTTTGCATATTAGTTGAAACATCTTTAAAGATTATAATTACTAGAATTATTCTTGTGTCTTTTGTGTGAGTTTATGATTCTAGAATTATTCTTGTCCGGTTTTCGTCTTTGCCAAGGCTGATGAATTAAAGGGTCTTCATGACCTCTTCAGAAGGTTGCAAGAAAATTCAAAGGAAAGGTACTTGGTTTGACTACTTTACCCATTGAAGCAGATTTGCTTTTGTGCAGGTCTAATATTTTTCTTTTTGATACCTTCTCTTGGTGCGATAATTTTTATATCTGTAACACGGATAAAACTTGCGAAACCCTCTTAACTATATTTGGGCTTGAAGAATCAGAACACGGTGGTTAGTTCTCAACTTGACTGTTAGCTGTCACTAGAATATCCTTCACTGAACTATAAACTGATTATTCTGCTGTGCTTGATAGGTGACTGCCTTTGATACCAAAATCACTCAAAGTTTTTGCTAGAGTCGATCCAACTGAAAGCAATAGAAAGTTTCTAATCTGTTTATTATCTACTTTTTTAAAATAGCTGGTCAGTTGCTAATGTATCCCGAATGATTTCTTAGGAGTTTTGCTCGAGGCTTCTGCATGGACTCTGTCTCCTTACTTCAAATCACAGCCAATACCAGATAATTTTAGTTTTATCTCTTTTTTAAGGTTATTCAGAAATGATAGTACTGTTGGTAGAAACTAGGCGTAAGATATGATGCTTTGTTGAACATTGTTTTAAATTGAAGTCCATGGTTTTTTACATGGTTTATCTCACGCATATTGGTCATCTGGTTGTGATGACATCAAGCACCCATTCATAAATGGATAAAGTCCCTTAATATCTTATGTGATGAGTATTTTAAGCATCAAATCAAACTTGCTAAAGGTCATAAAAGTGCTATGAGTTGAAACCCTGTATAAAACATTAGGTTCACTTGAGTTACACATATGGTGTTCTGAATTATGATAGTTAAAATTTCTGATTATAACTAAAGAGGCTCCATTTATCCAATCCATTATTAAAATATAAAATAAAATAACCAAAGGCCAAAGTAGTGCATGCATATCACTTTTGTAGTTTCTTTGACTGAACGATGTCCAAAACTTCCACTTCTATCCCCATTTCGCATTGACTGAAAACTGTTAAAGGAATCATTTCTTACAAGATCTTGCCGAGATTTCAGCCTCTCCACTCAAACCCTCAAAAACTCAGATCTCATTCCTTATCTCACTGCAAATTCTCAACAACCCAGAAATCAATTTCTCTCTATCTCCATGTTTCCCACAAAGGCCACTTCAAGATTCATTTTTTTCACTTTCACCCTTCTGTTACTTCTCTCTTTCTTCACCACCACCCTCATCAACGCCTCTGATCTTGACACTGAAAATGATGATGAGGTGGATAAAGATTTGGAAGAACTTATAGCATTAGATGAACAAGAAGAGGATGATTCTCAAGTGGTTGATGCAGCTGCAAAATTCTCTGAGGCAGAGTTGTTATCGAAGGCTCAAATGATTGTTCTTGAGTTGAATTCTGATAATGCGAAGAGGGTTGCCGAGGGGAATGAGTTTGTGTTGCTTCTTGGATATGCACCTTGGTGTGCAAGAAGTGCCGAGCTTATGCCTCAGTTTGCCGAGGCAGCAACTTCACTTAAGGAGTTAAAAAGTCCTCTTTTGATGGCTAAAATTGATGCTGAAAGATATTCCAAGGCAGCTTCTGCACTTGGGATCAAGGGATTCCCTACTTTGTTACTTTTTGTCAATGGCACCTCTCAAGCTTACACTGGTGGATTTTCAGCGTAAGTTGGTTTTTTTGTTTTATATTTTGTTGTCAAGATTATTTTTTTATGCATAAATGTTATGTTTCAATTAGTCAAGGATGCTTTACATAAGATTAATATTATATTTTGGTTGTTTTTGTTGTGAACTTATGCTTAATTATCATATTGCAATACAATATTGTGATTACTTTAACAAAGTATTGAGTTTCAATTGACTACTTTTTCTGTCTTTAATGTTGTTGTTGTAATGAAATTAATGTATTTGATTTGAGAAAAGTACATATGGTCTCATTGATGCCGTCATTGCACATGGCCAGAATATCTTAGACGACAATTGTCTTAATAATTGAATTTTCATATTTTCAAAGTTTCAAATGTTGTAGTTAAGTTTGTGATGCTGTTACAATCTTGAAATTTTTTTTTGTTTAATGGGGTTTATGTATTATCAGGGCGGAGATTGTGATCTGGGCAAGGAAGAAAACTGGTGTACCTGTTATTAGAATAAACACTGTGAAGG